TCGCCTGAGCTAAAGACATGTATAAGCACTTGGAAGGCATCGCCAGCTGAAGAGAGATATTTGGAATGTTGTGAGGCCTTGGGAATAGGTAAGTTTTATATACTTGTACGATATGTAAAAGAATAAGTAATAATAAAGTTTGCAGTAAAATCAGTCGCACAGTGATCACTTTCCACTTGTTTTAGTCTGAATTGCCGACTATATCCAACGAGGCTAATGAAAACTGATATTGTGTTTAATATACCTATCTCTTTCTACTCCCTTGAATCAACATGAGAGGTACTGAGGTACGCGGTGGTAATATAAACTGCTAATTTAGCTAGTACTGCCATTTTATAAATTCGCTCTTACTTCCGGTGTTAGGTTTTATTAGCTTAACCTATATGTATCTATGATCGTACCTAACGATTTTTTTAAATTCATTTTCACCCATTTATGGGCGTCTTAAAATTCTGAAATTTTGCAGACGTATTATATAATTCTTAAGAGCGATGTAGGGCGGCCCCTCACTTGATGGAGTGACGACCTGGTAAGACAGGAAGTCAATTAATGCATGTGGCTCAGGACCTTTGGGGAAGTTTTTATTCAGTAGTGGACTTGTGAAGGGCTGTAATGAATGAAAAAAAAATATACAATAACAATACATTAATTTCATGGCTTTGACTTAGTACTCTAATCATGTCGTAAAAGGTGACATGTCGCTTTTTCCTCTCTGAATAAACGCGGGAAAGCTTGCATGCGCAATTGCGCATTTTTGAGTGATTGTTTTTATCCATTTTTATGTGCGTTGACTCTTTCGCGCTCTATTACTTCTGTATTTTAATTCGGAGAGGAAAGAACGTCGTGTAAAGCTAACCGCCTGTCGCGACCTGGAGTGTATGAAATCTCACAGTTTTGTTAAATCGCGCGTTCTAAAGACTAGTGTTTTACAGAAATGGACAAAAGGGTTAGAAAGAATATTAAACAAGCAGTTACGTCCACTGGCGCGATGAAATAAGAAAAAAAAAGGTTGGTGTAGGTAAAGAAACACAGAGAAGGATTTGATCCAAAAGTTTCGAGAAAATTATGCCAATAAATAGACAAAACTACAAAAATTATTTTAATACAGAAGGAAAGGTAAAGTGGCAAGATCATATGATAGCAAGTGGACGAGCTTAGCTATGCCACAGAATAAATAATAATACAAGAACAGAAGGATCACTCTCTGATAACAAACTTGCGAGTTTAAACTTAGTTATAATGTCGCTAATGTTTACAATACTTTGCACGCCTCGGATATGACCTTCATGAAATTAGCCTACCGTTTATATCGTCGAAAAAAATTTATGCGGCGCGCGTATTAAATCAAAATGAACCTTACATCCGCGTGCGAGTGTCTGTATCACTTAGCCCGTTACACGCCTTTGTTAAGACCGCTTCTAATGTAGGGTTACGTATTGTGAGAAAACAAATGGAATTCTTTGATATTAGTTGGTATATAGTAGAATACACTGAGGTGTTATGCAATGTGATAGTATTTCTTTTATATTATTTTTTTATTTTGTTAAAATAACGTTACCCCCATACTAGGATTTTCTCCTGTATCGTGGAGGCAGTTAAAAAACATAAATTTTACAAGAACAAACATCTAGACTCGGAACAATTATTTGTAGGCCATACAAATACTTGTTCCTTGCGGTATTCGAACCCGCGGCCCCAGCGTTGCATTTCATTGCTAAGGCACTGCGCCACGGAGCCATCAATTTGCTGATAATAAAAACTTTATTGTTTAATGTGACGAAGGTTATATGCAACATCGAGGAAAATTAAGAATATAACAACGTGACTGTCTTTGAAAGTCAGATAATTTACCTACTTAGCATTTTTAACGGACTTCAAAAAAAAGGGGGATCTCAATCGACTATATTTTTTTGTGTGTTACATCAGAACTTTTTCTAAGTGAATCGATTTTGATGATTCTATTCTTGTTTGAAATCTGGTGAAAATTTATACATCCCATATAAATTTGATCAAGATCTGACCATTAGTTTTGGAGTTATCCTTAATAATGCGTATTAATATTAAGTCGGTTGTACAAAATTTTTAATTTCATTAGTTGTCTCTCTTCCTCTCTTTTTAAAAAAGTTACCTCCACATTAGGATTTTTCCCTGTATCGCAGGGACAGTTTACATACATAGAACACACCCAGAACAATTATTTGTAGGTCATACAAGTACTTGTTCCGTCCGGGATTCGAACCCGTGGCCTTAGCGCTGCAACTCATTACTAAGCCATTGCGACACGGAACCGTCATTTGTCTGTTTCATATTTTTACTCCTTATCGCGAGTGAAAGCACGTGTCATGTAAAGGCGGCTATATCAATAGTGTGATTTATATTTCATGTTGCTCTTTATCGGATCGACCATAGTTTATGGATTCCATTTTATTCGTATTAATATGTATCACATTAATAGTTTTTTTTTTAATTTCCAGCCCCATCGCAAGAAATTCAACAAGCCGTCGGCAGAAGTCACACAACGCGTAGACTTGCACTGGGTGCAAACACTCTGTTCTCGTCACAAATACGACCTTTATTTAGGGCTCTTACACACCAAACTCATATAACTGCTATAATGGTAGCCAACAACAATCTAGGAGATGATGGTATGAAGTACTTAACTGATACAATCTGCACTATGAAACATTTATCACATTTGGATGTCAGTTACAACAATATCACTAATGATGGAATGAAAATATTATTAAATATTTTTGAAAAATCTACTCGCCCTATCTGCCAAGCACTAGAAGAATTGATCCTAAGTGGAAATCCAATAGGAGATGAAGGATTCAAGTGTATAATCAAAATCACTCAATATATTAAGTTAAAAACGCTAAAATTAAATAGTTGCAGAATAACTCACAGTAGTGTGAGTGATGCTAATAATTTGAAATTAAACTTCGATAATATAGAATCAATTGATTTAAGCAATAATGATTTAAAACAAGTAATGGTGAGTTTTCTCATGACATCTTTAAGTCCAAATCACATAATAGATTTGGAATTAGACAATATTGGTGTAGAGGGCAATGTAGCGGGATGTATCGCAATGTTTATGGATTCAGCCAAAGAATTGAAGATAAGAAGATTCGGCTTATCAAATTGTAAACTAGTCGATGGGCAATTTATGAGGGTTTTTAGGTAAGTTAACAATCTTATACTATTTAAATAAGTTTTTGAAGTGCTTTTCAAACTTGAAGTCAATCCAAATTCTTTTCTCACAGACTTTTTAGTACAATTAATGACTTTTTTAAATGACTCCACTATTATTTGTCACTCCACTGTAGAGTGACAAACAAGCTAAAAACTTACCTGATGATGAGGGAAACTGATACAGGAGATAGGTGATAGGTTCTTCCTGATAACTGAAAATAATAGAAAATTATGGTTGCTAACCCGTCTAATAAACATAGAAATATCCATCCCCCTTATGATTGGGAGGCCTATATTCAGCACTTTTGATAGACTTGATTTTTGATAGGCTGTAACGAATGAACAAATAGAATAGAAAAGAATAATTTTAGTTGAACGTCAGTTATGGTATGGTACTGGTTCGAAAAAAAACCCTGTCCTGGGAAGCACCGGCAAGATACCAAGTACATTCATAGTATCAAACATATACATATATACTTTTTTATGTTTGGGTATTATTAATTTTTATCGATATGCATATGATAACAGTGGTAGAGCTAAGCGGTAGCTTTTGCTGTCGCACGGATGGGCCAGCTCGAACCGGGGTGGTACCACGACCTCACAGAATACCAGCGTGAAGTAGAGGTTTACCTCTGCGTTGCGCTTGGTGAGTGCAGGTGGCCGGAGGCCCAATCCCCTCCCCCCCCCATCAACATGGTAGCGGAATTAAATAAAAGACTACCCCAGGAGGGTACCAGCACCCCTGGAGAATCCCTCGCTGAGCATCCACGACCAAACTACTTCACTCCTGAGCGTGGGTGCTCAGGCTGCCCCGCGTATTCTGGGGGGGGGGGAGGGGCAAAATTCCGCTCAAAAACATAACTGCTCGGGGCAAGCGGAGCAATACAACCAAGGCGGACCCCTGTCACGCTATCCGTGAATTTTTGCAACATCAGGGGACTTCATTCCAACCTTAACGCTGTCCATCACCATCTAGAGACGGCGAAGCCGGCCTTGCTCTTAATAACCGAGATTCAGGTGTCCTCTCCGGCTGATACTTCATATCTCTCCTACCCGGGATACAAATTGGAACACTCCTTTGTGCCCCGGGCTGGAGTTTGTGTATACGTCAGAGAGAACATCTGTTTTCGACGCCTCGGCAGCCTTGAAGGTACGGACGTGTCCATCCTATGGCTGCGCGTAGACAGCGACGACCATCCCCGCGTCTACAGGTGCCTCTATAGGTCCTATAGCAGTAATGCCGATACAGACCGACTCATCTACCACGTCCAAATGGCTGCAGACTCCGTGCTACAACAGGTCCCATCCGCAGAGATCGTGATACTCGGTGATTTCAACGCCCACCACGCTGAATGGCTTGGTTCTCGTTTAACCGATCATGCGGGTAGATCTGTCTACGACTTTGCTTTGGCATATGGTCTAACACAACTGGTTACTTCCCCTACGTGGATCCCAGATGTGGAAGACCATGTACCTTCCCTGTTCTACCTTCTGCTGACCTCTCATCCGGACGGATATCAGGTCTCCGTCGATGCCCCTCTGGGCTCTTCGGACCATTGTCTGATCCGGAGCACGGTGCCACTCACGCTCCAATCGCAATTGCGATCTGCAGCTTGCCGCCGTGTTTGGCACTATAGGTCTGCTGATTGGGACGGGATGCGGTCTTTTTTTGCATCCTACCCTTGGGGGTGGGCTTGCTTCTCGCCGGAAGATCCCAGCGTTGTTACCGATTCTGTTGCTGATGTAGTACTTCAGGGTATGGAACTTTTTATTCCATCCTCTGAGGTGCCCATTAGAGGCAGATCCCAGCCATGGTTTGGTCGCTCCTGTAAAATAGCATCACGCTATAAGCAGGAGTGCTACCGGGCCTGGGCTGACGCATCAACGTCTCGGGACTTAAACACCAGCGCACTTAAAATGAAGTATAATTCCGCCTCCAGGTCCTTCAAAAGCGTCATTGCCAAGGCAAGGTCTGAGCACATCGGCAGAATTGGCGAGAAGCTAGTTCGCCTTCCTTCGGGAACCCGTGCATTCTGGTCTCTCGCCAAGACTATCCAAGGGAACTTCTGTCAGCCATCCCTTCCATCTCTGCACAGAGAGGACGACTCACTGGCCCATGCCGCAAAAGAAAAAGCCGATCTGTTGTGCTCTCTTTTTGCGTCTAACTCGACTCTAGATGACGGGGGGAACACACCGCCGACCATCCCGCGATGTGAGTGCTCCATGCCGGATGTGCGATTTACACAGCGCTCGGTTCGCAAAGCACTCTTCTCCCTGGACGTCAGCAAGTCGAGTGGGCCCGATGGAGTCCCTCCCATTGTGCTGAAGACGTGTGCTCCGGAGTTGGCACTGGTTTTAGCGCGTCTTTTCCGGTACTCCTACTCCCAAGGCGTAGTCCCGCATTCATGGAAGACAGCTTTGGTCCACCCGATCCCTAAAAAAGGCGACCGCTCAGACCCGTCCAACTACAGGCCTATCGCCACCACCTCCTTGTTCTCCAAAATAATGGAATCCATTATAAACTGCCAGCTCATGAGGTACCTTGAGGATCACCAGCTGATTAGTGACCGCCAGTACAGTTTTCGTCGAGGTCGATCAGCTGGTGATCTTCTAGTCTATCTGACTCATAGATGGGCGGAGGAAGTAGAGTCCAAGAGGGAGGCATTGGCCGTTAGTTTGGACATAGCGAAGGCCTTCGATCGGGTCTGGCACAAAGCGCTTCTTTCGAAGCTTCCTTCCCATAGGAAGCCCATAGGCTTCCCGAGAAATTCTGCAAATGGATTACCAGTTTTCTTGCTGATCGGAGCAAGGTCAAGGTCGTAGTAGACGGTGCATGCTCTGATTTCAAGCCTATCAACGCTGGTGTTCCACAAGGCTGCGTGCTATCACCAACGCTGTTTCTCCTGCATATCAATGATATGTTGCTAACTGGTAGCATTCATTGCTATGCGGACGACAGCACTGGTGATGCCTTATATACCGGCCGTGCCAATATTTCTCGGGAAAACGTCGCTGAGTACCGGGACAAACTTGTGTCTGAAGTCGAGTCTTTGCTTAACAAAGTCTCGGATTGGGGCTGACTAAATCTAGTCCAGTTCAATCCCCAGAAGACACAAGTTTGCGCGTTTACCGCTAAAAAGAACCCCTTTGTCGTATCTCCTCAGTTTCAAGGCACTCCCCTTACTGCCTCAGCTAGTATCGGAATCCTTGGCGTCGACATATCCAATAGTGTGCAGTTTCGTGGTCACTTGGAAGGGAAGGCCAAATTGGCCTCTAAAAAGGTTGGCGTGCTCAGCAGAGCGAGACGGTATTTCATGCCGGCACATCGCTTGCAACTTTACAAAGCGCAAGTTCGGCCCCACATGGAATACTGTTCTCATCTCTGGGCTGGGGCACCCCAGTGCCAGCTCCTTCCACTTGACCGCATCCAGCGTAGAGAGGTTCGAATCGTCGACGACCGAGTTCTTTCTGATCGGCTCGATACACTGGCACTGCGTAGAGATGTTGCATCTCTTTGCATATTTTATCGCATCTATCACGGGGAGTGCTCTGAGGAATTGTTCGGACTAATTCCACCCGCTCAATTTCACCATCGCACATCGCGACAAAACTCACGTTACCATCCATACCATCTGGATGATTGGCCACGGTCCACCACTGTGTGATTTAGAAGAAGTTTTCTCCCTCGCACAACTTCCTTGTGGAATCAATTACCACCAGCGAATTTTCCGGACCGATACGACTTAGGAACCTTCAAGAAAAGAGCTTACTCCTTTCTAAAAGGCCGGCAACGCATCTGCAATTCCCCTGTTGTTGTGGTTGTTCATGGGCGGCGGTAGTCACTTACCATCAGGTGAGCCGCATGCTCGTTTGCCCCCTATCCTATAAAAAAAATATATGCTTTTTCTAGTCCAGTACAAAACAGTAGATTAATTAATTAAACAATTATTTTCTTTCAGGAGTCTGAGTCGAGTGAAGCATTTGCAATCATTGACTCTAAAGGAAAATATGCTAACATTTATCACACTAAAGAAATTACTACAGCGGCAACCGCCTGTGCCGCAGATAAACTTGGAAGGTTGTCATGACATATTTAAATTTTCACCAGACTCCGATTTCCAAGTATGGCTCCCAGCTATTGACTTTGGAAGGTGCATTCCTGAAATAAATGTTACACCAGTATTAAAATCGGACGAAGAAAGGGAAAGCTTTAAATTGTTCTCTAAAACTTGGCTGACATGTTTCAAAGGCAGAGGAGTTATTGAGCATTGTGAAGGCGGTGTTACGAAATTCACTGCTAGATGATGTTCTCAGACTTTAACTATTGCTGTTATATTTAGATTATTATTAACTTATGACCAATACCGGATTTAAAAATAGTAAATTGTTCCCAGTGTAAATATAGAAAAATGTATTAATAAGGTAATAAATATTTTTTACATTTTGGAGGTTGTCATTTTATTAATGTTTTGATAAATATGCTATCCTCTTATACGTGCAAAATTTATATGTCAATTTGTTTGTTTGTAATTGTGTTCTCGAAAACTGCTATAACGATTTAGATGAAATTTACAATGTAAGGGCCGAAAAATTGATCTAAGCCGTGATTTTTGCACATACTCATCGAACAACAAATTAAATGTGACCGTGCATTATGATTGGTTATTTCACGTTGGAGATCATCCTCGCGATAGCCTTACGACAAGAACGTAGTTCTGACACACGAGTACGCGAGTTCAAATTCTGCAATACGGCCAAATATTTTTAGTTTTTATTATCATTTGTTACTTGTTAGTATTGTGAATAAACTAAACTAGAACTGGCAAATTCTTTAGGCACATGCCTTTTTAAATATGATCATATTTTAGATTATAAATGATCTAAGGGCAGTATATATGGAATCCCATAGACAAGATATTTTCTGTCTACGTGGCATCCCTCATTTCAAAGATTATTATTATAACATACTAGCTGTTACTCGGCGCATTGCAACCGCAGAAGAAATAATTGTGGAAATATCGTTTTCAATTTGAAAGAGTTACGTTGTTTAATTAGGAATGATAATACCATCATTGAAGTTGAATGATATAATAGTTTAAAATTAATTTGTTGGTACGATACGCGCACCACCTACTGTAAGTTAACTGTACTATGCCTATAAAGCTCGCGCAAGTGCAAACAATAACTTGACAAAGCAGTACATAAAATACGAACAAACAAATTTTTATATATAGAGATAACAGAACACAATTACTCTATTATGAGTTAGTGGCCTACTTTGACGTATAGATAATTCCAATATTTTCCCGTCCTTTTCACTGATAACAAATACTATATATCAAAAACTATATCAAAAAATACCAGAGCTTACACTCCTGTGTTCCGGTCCGAAAGGTATAGAGCCTTAGTATAAACACGGAATAAATAATCGTTAAAAGAGCAGAAGGATCATTCTCTGATAACAAACTTGAGAGTTTAAACTTAGTTACAACGTGGCTAATGTTCATAATACATTGCACGCCTCTGAAGTGTCCTTCGTGAAATTAGCCTATCGATCAATTCGTCGAAAAAAAATTACGTGGCGCGCATATTAAATGAAAATGCACCTTTTTGATATTGGTATATAGTAGAATACACCGAGGTGTTATGCACTGTATTAGTATTTTTGTTATTTTGTTGAAAAAAAGTTACCCCACACTAGGATTTTCTCCTGTATCGTGGAGGCAGTTCATTATTATCATTATAGCCCTTCTTAAGTCCACTGCTGAACATAGGCCTCCCCCAAGGAATGCTACAAAGCACGGTCCTGAGCCACCTGCATCCATTGACTTCCTGCATGTCTTACCAGGTCGTCACTCCATCTAGTGGGAGGTCGCCCTACACTTCGCCTACCGGTACGAAGCTGCCACTCGAGAACCTTTCATCCCCACCGGTTGTCGGTTCTTCGAGGCAACTATTATGGCCGGCCCATTGCCACTACAGCGTACTAACCCGTTGGGCTATGTCGGTTACTCTGGTTCTACTGCGGATATCCTCATTCCTAAGTTTATCACGCAGAGAAACCCCGAGCATAGCCCTTTCCATAGCTCGCTGAGCAACCTTGAGCTTCCTCATACGGCCAGCAGTGAACGAACACGTCTCAGATACGTAAGTTATCACTGGCAACACGCACTGGTTGTACAATTTCGTTTTCAGGTTTTGAGGTATGTCTAACGAGAAGATATGTCGTAGTTTCCCGAACGCTGCCCGTCGATTGACCTCTCGGTCGAAGTTGGACTTACCTAGTCGGACTATTTGTCCCAGGTAAACATACTCGTCAACAACTTCGAGCTTAGTGCTCCCAACAACTACCAGCATAGGTGTGACATGGACGTTAAACATGATTTTTGTTTTGTCCATGTTCATCTTTAAGACCTATCCGTTGGGAGACACTATTGAGGTCATTGAGCATAGTGCTTAGGTCCTCCAGCGATTCTGCTATAAGGACTATATCGTCGGCAAATCGAAGGTGAATGATGTACACGCCATTGATGTTAATACCGCATCCTTTCCAGTTCCAGTTCACTAGCTTGAAAACGTCTTCCAATGCAGCGGTGAAGAGTTTCGGGGATATGACGTCACCCTGTCTATAGACTGACGTATAGACCTACATAGTGTTCAAGGGAGAAGAAAATTCCTTATGGCAAAAATGCAAGATAGAAAAGGATACCAAATCTCATGACTCTGTAACCGATTTTGAATGACAGATCGGCACAATTCGGCACGCAAGAAATAGCTATTAGATGTTTTGTAATTTTTTAGTGTAACAGCGGTTATTTCTATTAAGTAACTTTTTTGCAAAATGGTTACTTAATCTGCGAGTGACTGTGGTGTTAATAATAGAAATAATGCTGATTATTGCACCTTTCACAGGTAAACTCTCAAGACGTCGTCAATGTTATGACGCGTTTATTTTTGGTTAAAATTTATGTTATATACTGTGTAAAATACTATAATTTAATAATTTTGTTAATTTTGATATTTTACAAAAAAAAGTCACGTTGTTGATAATTTGCATGAATTTGGTAAATACATTTTAATACAAAATATTTTATATGTACGAGGGCTGCACTAAAAGTATCGGGAATAGAATATTTCCACTGTTCCTGTCATATTAAAAACTCCTTGGTTTTAAAAATCGAATACCATTTATTTATTTCAAAAAAGATTCTCGGTCTTGCCACAAGGTTTTATCAAACTTGTTTAATCGTTGAGAAAATGGAATTGACTCGAGAAAATTCAAGAGCGAAGATTTATTATGACTTTCGAAGTGGCTTAACACAAAAACAGTGTGTTGGCTGGATGATTTCTGCATATGGTGATGAAGCCCCATTCAAAACCATAATTTATCGCTGGTTTGCTGAATTTCAACGTAGACGTGTCAAGCTCAGTGATGATCCCCGTCAAGGTCGTCCAAAAACTGCAGTCACCCAAGAAAACGTTGATGCTGTGCGTAAGCTGATTGAGAAAGATCGACATGTGACATACCGCGAAATTCAGGCAACTTTAGACATTGGCATGAGTCAAATACAAATAATCTTGCATGAACAATTAGGTGTAAAAAAGTTGTTTTCCCGATGGATACCGCATTCGCTCTGTGAAGAGTAAAAAGCGGCTCGCGTTACTTGGTGCGTCAAAACTTTCGAAAGATTCAACGCAGGATCCTCAAATGCTGTATACAACATCGTATCAGGTGACGAATCCTGGATATACGCGTACGAACCCGAAACAAAAAAGCAGTCACGAGTTTGGGTGTTCGAAAATGAGTTAAAGCCAACAAAAATTGTTCGTTCTCGGAGTGTTGCAAAAAAATGGTGGCCACGTTTGTCTCCAAAACCAGCCATGTTACGACTATTCCTCTTGAGGGACAAAGAACGGTTAATGCAGAATGGTATGCTAGCATTTGTTTGCCACAGGTCGTTTCTGAACTCCGTAAAGAGAACTGCAACCGCCGCATCATCCTCTATCACGACAATGCGAGTTCTCACACCGCACACAGAACAAAAAGAGTTTTTAGAGCAAGAAAACATTATTAGACCATCCGCCGTACAGCCCCGACCTAAGCCCTAATGATTTCTATACTTTCCCTAAAATAAAGAATAAATTGCGTGGACAGAGATTTTCGCATACAAAACGGCCATTTTGGAGACCCCAAATTCCGAATGGAATGGTTGCTTCAATGATTGGTTCCATCGTATGGAAAAATGTGTCAAATTTCGCGGAGAATACTTCGAAAAGCAATAAATACATTTTTAAATAGTAATGTTGTGTCACTTCCTTGATTCCCGAAATTTTCAGTGCCGCCCTCGTACGCTAGGGATTGACTCAACTGATATAGTTGAAATTGTAAATCAATGTCGATATTTAATTTGAATGTTTATAATAAATCGATAGACTTGCGCACACAACAAGAAAATAAATCCTCGGTTTGCGATCTAAAATGTAATTTTATTATGCCTTTTATCAATCAGATTCCCTCCGGATTCTATTATTACCAAATATGGTTAACGTTAATTAGACGGGTTGGTTGGAATCCAAAGAAGAACTCAACAATTTGCAGCAAACATTTTCTTGAGAAGTATACAAGAAAAATTATAATAAAAACAATTTTATTAAAAGGAACCATTCCTACATTATTTGTAGGTACCAGAAAGTATAATATTGTTACAGTACGACTTCAAAAATTTAACTTTAAAACTTTAGGTAAAAATAGAGATGGATTTTTATACATTATAAAACTGCAGTTAATAAAAAATAAAAAATCTTGAGATTGTCCTATTACAGCAATTACGAACCCAACTGAGTATCTATTCATCAACCAAAAAATGTATAACCTTACTTAACTAACTCACGGTCTCATTAGTATTATATTTATAGCATCACGTTATTTTCCCTAAGATAAAATAATGCTCCTGAAGCGTCGCTAGTGCCCGCACATGAGATGTGTAGTTCAGTTTGTCAGGATAGTATAAATTCCATAGTATTTGATACTCACAACGCCCGATGCCCCATTTATGGTTGGTGACCGAAGACAGTGTGTCGCGGACTAAATAGCGTGGTTTATTGCCTACGGCGTTATGCGTAGAGAAGAGGAACTTGTTATTTATTAACAGCTGTGCGGATAAATAGTTCTGTGAGATTAAGTTGCGCTTGTCACATTCAGTCCATGGATGGGTCACCGTTTTCTTAACATTCCGAGATTGAGAGAATAGACAGTGCATCTGTATCCTGAGATACCTGGTACACTTTCATTGCATTGAATTAAA